ATATATTAGAATCTGGAAAAGTTTTGAACATCTTGTCTTTTCAGTTTTGTAGTGTCACGCCCATTTCACCTCACCTCGTCTCGCCACTGGTTGACCTTTGACCACCTGAGATCAAAGCTCCCTTCTCCCAGACTGAACTGTTTCAGCTCTCATGGAGAGCTATCAAAAAATAAAAACCTTTCACTGCCTCTCCTTTCCTTAGGGAAAGATCTCGTTCTCAAGAAATGTGTTATTCTGCTGATAAAAACAAATCAAAACAAACATTCTGTCTGTTATTGCTGTTCCTTTAAACGTGTATAATTCAAATGCTTAAACCCTTTAAAATATGTTTGACTTTTGTCTTTACTTTTTAAGGGCTCTCTAATAATTTATAACTTTGCATTTGTGTTTTGAATATGTTTAGAAATTTATGAGTTAATGACAACAGTCATTTCAAGTCATAATCAATGATTAAAAGGATTTTTCTTTATAGCAGGAAACACATTTTATTATAAAACATGATTTATTTTAAGTTAATCTGAATCAGTTTAGTGTTGTTTGTAATTATATTTGACAGTTTTGTAGGAATGAACACATCTGTAATGTTTGTTCAAAATAAACCTGCTTCTTATGACTTCTGTAACATGTTTTGAATAAAATATTATCAGTAAAAACCTCAAATCATGTCCTTTCTAATAATCATTATAACTCTCTTGTAGATATAAAGGATAACGTTTAGAAAATTCAATTATGCAACTATCAAAAAAACTTCCTCTTAGTCACTGAAAATAATTTATTACCACATTTTAAAGACCGATTATTATCTGGGCCCTTAAGGTTAATGCTCCTGAAACAGTCTGTCTGACCTGCGGTGTGAGACAGAGAAGAGGAGAGGAGCTCCATGTTTGAGTCCAGCAGGTCCTGTACAGCAGCTGATTCTGTCTGGATTTGAGTTTACAAACTACTCTGGTTACTTTTTTAAAAGTTGAGGGACATTACAGCTGCGCTGCTGATCAGCGGTATCTATAGAACATGAACGGACTCGGGGGAACCTGGTCGCACGTGGGGTCTGTGTTGGTGATTCTACATTATTGATAAGGTAACCATGCTGTGGCTTCACCTGTCACATGTTATTTTAAAGAAAGAAAAAGTAGCTTGCAAAGCTGTCGCATCAGTGCTACGTGATTAAAAGCAGAGTTTTCATCGGGTGCGCACACACGTCTTCCTATCTTTGTGAGGACCACAGACAGCGCTCAGCCTCACTCTACGCCGTCTTCTTTCCCCAAGTTTGGTGAGAGGTGGATATGGAGGGACTCAAAAAATAGCTCTGTACTTGATCTGGACTTATTTAAATAAAAATGACTACACGCCGTGAAATTCTTAGAGGGGCTGGCCGCCCCTCCTGTATAATGGTAGGGGAAACACTGCACTTTCAGGAAATGTTCAATACACCACAGAGAACAGAGGATTAAATTTTAAAACATTTCAGAGTCCGAGCGCTTGCGCAGCTCCCAAGAACCGCTGGAGAACAGCTCTGAGCTGCTGCTCCGAATCTGTCCCCGCCTATAGAGCTTGATCTGTGGCACAATTACAGCCAAAATACCCCACTGCCTTTTAGGGCTTAGATCTCAAAAAGTAGCAAATGGCTTGTTGGTTGTATTTGGTTGACTGACAACATTCCACTCATAGCTGGTGGTTCCTGAATGCAACACCTTGTCCAGCCCGTGTTCAACTGTCAATCATGATTCCGCACCACCTGTCATCCGAGGCCCCGCCCCCCACGCTAAATCGGGGTCATAAGTCTGAAACTGAAAATAAAAAGTTTGAAACTGGAAGAAAAATTTGAAACTGAAAAAAAAAAATAGTTGAAGCTGAAAAGACAAGATGTTTAAAACTTTTCCAGATTCTAATACATTGTTTTTCAGTTTCAAATT